CCCAAGCACAAGCCGACGCAGCATAAGCGTCAAGCTTATACTGCCTAAGAAAAGCTTCGGTGGCTCGTGCGCCTGGAGGTTGCGGCTTCGGTGAGCGAGGTGGTGCGAGAGTCGGGCATCCACCGCAAGTGCCTGACAGAGTGGAAGAATCGAGCGCAACTTCTCGAAAACTCTCACGGCGCACGAAATCGACTGCACGGGCGCGGCAGAGCTTCGTGGTATCGGCTGATGGAGTTGAAGGTGTACGCGCAGCTCCTCGATTGGCGGTGCAAGGGTATTGCCGTGTCTGTCGGTCGTCTGCAGGAATGGCCTCGGGAGTTCATGAAGGTGCTCTTTCCGGACGTGAAGTGGAAAGGAAGCCAGCAGTGGTCGATGCGTTTCTGCAAACGGTGGAATCTCAGCGTGCGCATGAAGAATAAGGTGGCCGAGAAAACATCAGAGCGTAAGTGGCATCCTGCCTTGAATTTCCTTGTTATTTCTTTAACCCATTGCTAGAATTTGATGTTATTTCTCTGGAAATCAAACAAATTTTCTGTCCCGTTCTACTGTGCACCCTCTCCTCCCCGTGCTCAGTTGTTGCGGAGCAGTGCAATAACTTCTTGCAATACGTCCGAGACCGTCGTCGTGAGTACGACATCGACAACCGCTTCATCATCAACACCGACCAGACGCCGCTGTGGCTGGAGATGTCGGCAACCACTACCGTGGATCAAACGGGCGTGAAGTCTGTTCCCATCAGGAGTGGCCGTTACCAGAAGGAGCGGGTCACGGTGATGCTGGCGTGCATGGCAACGGGGGAGAAGCTGAAACCGTGGGTGTTTTTCAAGCGCAAAACCCTGCCGAAGGGATTTTCCCGGCCGGTTAGCATTGTTATGTGTTCCTAACAACCCGCTCTTTTTATGCGCAGATGTCGTCGTGGCGGGCCACGACAAACGGATGGATGGACGTCGCGGGCGTCAAGCGGTGGCTCGACAAGGGCGTCCAGCCCTTCATGAAGCCCCGGTTCAAATTGCGCGGGAGGAGTGCGATGCTCGTGCTCGAATCCACTGCGGTCATCAGACCGACAGGGTGAAAAGGAAGTTCGAGGAGTTGAACATCGTGCCGGCGGTCATCCCGGGGGTTTGTACGGTGGAGGTACAGCCCCTATACGTGTCGGTCAACAAGTCGTTTAAGGCGAGCGTGCGCCAGCAGTATCAGAGCTGGTTCGAGGAGGATGGCATCAGCACGCTGACAGAGAAATGTGAGATAGACCCGCGGTTGATCCTTGCGCGCGTGTGGTTTTCCCTTCTTCGTTGTTCTAACTGCTTCCACCGTCCCTTACCTGTGGTGCAGGGAACATCAAGAAGCCACCACATGAGGTGGTCCTCATGCGGATTTCCTGGGCCTGGAAGGCAATGCCCGCCGACCTAATCAAGCGGGCCTTCCTTACGTGCGGTATCAGCAACGCGCTTGACGGGAGCGAGGACAAGCTCGCCATGGCACACAAGAGGAGCGAGCTGACCCAAGAAGTAGACGTCGACAACGAGGTCGTCGCCAATGGCTTCTGGGGCAACAGCTGCCCGGAGCCCAATTCTAACGAGGAGGACGACCTCCCCTGAATGCATCACTAGGCTAGGCTAGCTAGAGGTGCGAAACGTTGTTAGAAATGCCTTGTTATGGCTAGACATGCAGATCACTGATAAAAACCTTGAAATGCATTGTTATGTTTAATGAAAATTAAATGTAGTAGGACTTCTAGACATGGTAGGGCTCAATGTCTTGTAACTAGTAAAAAAAAAAAAAAAAAAAAAAAAACTTTAGGGATGCGCTCATTGTAAGTAAGGTTTCTAGGGGGGTGCGCTTATAATCGAGGACCGGCCAAAAGCGCAGTGCTCCTGATAGAAGCGCATGCGCTTAACATAGGCCTGCGCTTATATCTGGGGCCATACCTAGTCATGAAGCGTACGCCGACTCGGCCAATTCCAGCTGTGCATGGTTTGGGAAATGTGACGCGCGAAGTTGCGAACACCGTTAGGCAGTAACGGGCGAAGAGACAGTCGATCTTGTACGCGTTACTGAGGTGCGCAGTAAGGAATTACGATAATGTTCCTTATACTGAGGCAGAGAACGAGCCGGATACGAGTTCGGGGGAGGAAACGTGGGATTCTAAATAGAGAGAGACGGTGAGCGGAATGTCGAAAGGGAAGCAAGACCAAGTGTACGAAGCCCACTCATAGGCGGCGACGACTGTTGATGTGGCCGCTGCTGCTGCTGCTGCTGCTGCTGGTGCTGCTGCAACCTGGCCGAACGTGGCGGGCCCACAGGGGCAGACCCTCTAGTGTCCGCACCCTCAGAACTAGCACTTCCAACGTTAGCACCCCCAGAACCAGTGATTCAAGCACCATCACCCCCACAACCAGTCCAGCACCAGCAGAACAAGTACACTTTGATAAGGTAGCATCTGAAGCATAGGCCGACCGGGCGTATTACAACAATGCAGGGTTTGATAATATGGCGTACGAAAGTTACGAACACTATTAGTCAGTAACAGGCAAAGAACGGTGAAGTTCTGTACACGATAGGCAAGCTGCTCGGTGGACGTGAACGTGAAAAAAAGAAAGGTGGACGTGAATTAATTCATGTCAGCAGGTTTAAGCTGAAAATTCATTTCATATGTGCACTTCTGCTACTGTCAAAGCAGATATTGCAAAAAGACAAGATAGAGGCATCCCCTCCTGACGGAAATTGAGGGATGCCAGCCGAGGCTGGTCAGTTCTGGGGCTGATTTTGTGCGCAATTTTTTTTTTTTTCATGGGTTTTCAGCTTAGCGAGGACAGGTATCCCGACCCCTCCGCTTTCAGGGGACGATTTTTGCATCCTGCGCACAGTTTCCACAAAAGGCTGGGCTAGGGAGAGACAGTTATCGTTCAGGTAAGGGACTCGAGCTCTCAATGAGCCACGTGTTTCATCCTTCACAGCTCGCTCACTGTACAGATTCTGCACTGCGCATGCTTGTCTTTTGCACCGAATCCAGCCTACGTTCGGGGTGGCTGGTCAAACCGCTGTTCCCAAACCTGTATATTGCACCCGACACCCTGAGAAAATGTGGGAATATATATTGCATCCCCTGGCCCAAAAAAACTAAAACCCAATCGGAAAGGGATGCGGCTCGGGGAGGCATCAACCCTAAAATCAACGCCCTTTCCCGTGTTTAGGGTTGATCCCTCCCAAAAATGCGTCAAGGTTCCCTAGGGGTTTATTTTTTTATGCCCTGCCCTTATTGTTCCCGGTAGCGTCGTTTAGCGCCGCTGGCGCAAATGGGCTAGCCAAACGACTCTTCCCCATGAAATATTTTGGGTCGAAACGACAAGCCAGAGCAGTAGGGAATCTGTAATTTAACACCTAGAGTGAACTCTCTGTGAAAGGTGAGACACGTGGCTCATTGAGAGCTCGAGTCCCTAACCTGAACGATAACTGTCCCCCCCTAGCCCAGCCTTTTGCGGAAACTGTCTGCAGGAAGCGAAACCCGTTCCCTGAAAGCGGAGGGGTCGGGATACCTGTCCCCGCTAAGCTGAAAACCCTTTTTCATCCGCTTGCGACAGCACACGTCATCCCTTCCAATATCGATCGATGTTGAACAGTTCAAACAGGTATGCAAACGGTTTTGGGTGAATAAGCCCTGCGCGTCACAACCATTGTCGCAGTTTTTGAGTCGACAAAAACGGCAACATTGCACTCTGAGAGTAGCGAAATAACAAGTGCGGTGATGCATTTGCGAATGTAATACATCTGGCGTCAAACGCCAACGAGACGGTTTGCGAAAATTCGTGAATTTGCAGCATTGGATTGTTAGATTTTTTTAACCGCCACCGCCAGTGTTGCCCCCGTGAACCGACGTGGAGGGATGTGGGAGGGTGTGTCAGCCTCCACGTCCGTCCATGACATCCGTCAACGTCCAAAGGATGTCGGCGGATGTCGAAACGGAACATTGAATCGAACATGCTTGCAGCAGATTCCCGCAAGATCTACTTGCAGCTCTCGCCTGCTGGGCACCACTGGGGGGAGTCTGATCTGAACTCGCGAGACGCGGTGCAGGACAAGTTGCTGAGGGTCAGGTTCAATCACCCCTTGGGAATTGGTCTCATAAAGCGATGGGACAGGTGTTTTTGTAGGCGGCAAAGCGTTTTAGCAGGGTTCAATGCGGTGTATAGAAGATATTGAGTCCTGAATCCTCGAGATTGCCAACGTACACCGCAAACTTTATCTTATCCTATATCATGGTGGTTTCTCCAATAGCCAGCAGTAACCATCACCCTGAAACGTCACTGCTTAGAAGTGCCGTATGAATCATGGCGGGTGGTGGTGGTTCCCAGGACAATAGTAGTAATGCTGCAAGCAGCAGCAGCAGCAGTGGCATTAGCTCACGATACTCCGGCTTTAATTCATCATTTTCCACCGGCTTTTCCGTTAGAGAGAGCAATATGGGCTTTTGTTTTCGGGAATCTGGCGGAAAATTGCATCCAGCAGCTAATTGGTCGCAAAATGACGAACAATCCGCTATAAGCTTCACCAGTACACGCACTCACAAGCCCTCGACCAGCCTGGGTTTGGAAAATTCCAGTAGGCTCAGCACTGCCTCGGATCTAGGTTCGGGTTCCAGCAGGTTTGGTAATGCGTGGGGAACTAGACCTACCAGGTATGGGTTTCTCCGAGGCAGTGGCTACGGTTTTGGATTCCAACGGAAGCCTCCGATCCGCTACGTTAGGTCCGGCAATCGACCGACCCTCCAACCGTTTGAATCCGCAGGGCAGCACGAGCCTTCCCCCACTCCTCGCTACGTCCGGTGGCCGACTGATCAGGCCCCCCGGGAATCGCCGGTTAGCCGTCAAGCGTACTTCCAAGAGTACACGTCAGCAGCAGCGCCGTTCACGTCACCCGGATCGCAGTACACGTCAGCAGCTGCAGCAACGCCCACGGCCACCAACGACACGCAGCCGGCAGCAGCAGATCGGGCCGATGAAATGCGAGGGATTAGAGGGATGTGTCCCGTGGGTGGTGGTTTTATCCCTATAAGAACTGGTGGTGTGCCGTTTAGTGCTCCTATAGCGGAGGGTTTGCTAACGCAGCCTGCTGTAACGCGTACGGCGGCTGGTCAAGCTGGATCGGAAGCTGAGCAGGAAATACCCCCGGATAAGGGGCTTGGATTCGATATTTCCCCTTTGTTTGTTGAAAGACCGGCCGTTGGTGCCACTGCTGCGGGTGGTGCTGATGTCACTGGGGGGATCGGCGCAGGTAGATCGGCCGAGGAGGGGAGAGGAGGAGGGGGAGGGGGAGAGGGAGAGGGAGGAGAGGAGGGGAGAGAGGGACGGGGCGAGAGGAGAGAGGGAGGAGGGGAGGAGAGAGAGGGATGGGGAGAAGCGCGAGGAGAAAGGAGACGACGGGAGGACAGCGAAGAACCCCCGAGTAACACGGACAAGAGGCTTCGAGTCTCAGCCACTGCACCCCAGGTGCAGGGAAACAGTCCAAACTTACACCCGGACCTGAATACGGCATTAAACCCCAGTCCAGACTTATACCCCGATCTAAACGCTGAAGCGCATCGCCATCTGACCGCTCTCTCCCTCTCCACCGCCCCTCTCTCGCCCCAGTACCCTCCCGTTCCTCCGCGCCGAGCCGCCACCAGGATCGGGCAGCTCATGCTCATCCGAGCCTGCCACAGCGAGCAGCTTCGGCGGTTCAGCCTCGGCACAGCCTTGGGGCTGCGGACTAGGAACGGGATTCTCACGGACCTGCCTGCAATTATTGTTTTTGTGCCTCGGAAGGTTCATGAGCAGTGGCTGCTACCTTCCCAGATGCTTCCTAGCAAGCTGCAGGGACCAGATGGGTACGAGTGTGACGTGGATATAGTTGAATTCTCTTATTATGGTGGGCATGGAGGAGGAGGGGGGCCGACACAGCAGCCGCAGCTAATTAGTAACGAGTTAGTGGAGAGATTAAGAGGCAGTGGTTCTAGGATCGGTCCAGGCTCGCAAATTGCGAGCGAGGAGATGTATGGGACTCTAGGAGCTATAGTTAGGAGTCTGACTGAGCCACGTGGATTAGGGTTTCTGACTAACAGACACGTGGCAGTTGACTTTGACCAGCCGAAGCAGAAAATGTTCCACCCGCTGCCGTCTTCCCTAGGTCCGGGAAAGTACCTCGGCTCGGTGGACCGAGCCTCGTCGTTTGCCTCGGACCACCTTTGGTACGGCGTGTTTGCCGGGCAGAGCCCGGAAACTTTTGTTCGGGCAGATGGGGCGTTTATTCCGTTCCACGAGGAGTTTGACGTGGCGCTGCTGACCACGTGGCTGGAGGGGATTGGGCGGATCGGCAAGCCGCACGAGATCAGATTGCAGGACGAGATTTTCAGCGTGGCAGGGCAGCACGTGTGCAAGGTGGGTGGCACGTGTGCAAGGTGGGTGGCACGTGTGCAAGGTGGGTGGCACCCCACCGTGGGGGAGGGGTGTGTGGGGCAAGCCTCATGAGATTAGATTGCAGGATGAGATTTTCAGCATGGCAGGGCAGCGCAGCATGTGTGCAAGGTGGGTAGCACGTCTGTATGAGTGGGGCAGGGAGAGGTGGTGTGTGCGTGTGTTGGAAGGGGGTGGGGGGGGTTGGGTGGTGGGTGGGCGTGGCAAGCCTCACGATATCAGATTGCAGAACGAGATTTTCAGCGTGGCAGGGTAACAAGTATGCAAGGTGGGCGGCAGAGGAAGGGTTCTGGGTTTATGTGCAAGGTGCTGTGTGTGCAAGACAGTATAAATCTTCCATCTCTCCCCCCCCCCTCCCCCTTTCCCCCTGCTCCCTTCTCTCCTCTCAGGTGGACAGCAGCTCAGGTCTCGCTTGGGGAAGCGTGATGGAGCATGCTGGCTAGAAGGGAGGACGAAAATCCCACTCCTCACTTTGTCACCCTTCTCGTTCCTCTCTTCACCACTCATCTCCCTCCTCTCTCTCCCCATCTCCCTCCTTCCCCCCATCTCCCTCCTTCCTTCCCCCTCATCTCCCCCGTTCCCCCCATCTCCCCCGTTCCCCCCATCTCCCCCGTTCCCCCCATGTCCCCCGCGCCCTGTTCAACCCATCTCCCTCCTCTCCTCTCCCTCTTCTCCTCTCCCTCCTCTCCTCTCCCTCCCTTTCCCGTCTCTCTCCCTGTCTCTCCCTCTGTCTCCCCAACCCCTTACAGGTGGGCAGCAGCTCCGGCCTAACCCGAGGCACGGTGATGGCGTATGCAGTGGAGTACAGAGGAAGGTGTTCCCTTCCCCATCTCCCTCCTTCCACCGTTTCTCTCTCCCCAACCCCCACCTCCTTGGCAGGTGGGCAGCAGCTCCGGCCTCACACGCGGCACGGTGATGGCGTATGCAGTGGAGTACAACGACGACAAGGGCAACACGCTCTTCACGGACCTCCTGGTCGTGGGGGAGGACGGGCTGCCCTTTGACGTCGAGGGGGACTCTGGCAGCCTCATTCTCATGCACGCCCCTGCCCCTGCTGCTGCAATGCACGCCCCTGCTGCTGCGATTCACACGCGTGACCCTGCTGCTGCTGCTGCTGCTATGAACGCCCCTGCCGCTGCTGCTGCGGCTCACGCCCATGCCAATGCTGCGTTGCACGCCCCTGCCAATGCTGCCGCTGCGACTCATGCCCCTGCCCCTGCTGCCGCTACTCATGGTCTTACAAATGCTGCGATTCACACCCCTGCCACTGCCGCGGCTCCTCACGCCCCTGCCACTGGTGCTGCTGCTCACGCCTCTGCCACTGCTGCTGCAACTCACGCTCCTGGCAACGCTGCAGCACACCCCCCTGTGAATGCTGCCACACAAGCCTCTGCCACCGCTGCCATGCAACCCCCTGTGGATGCTGCTGCTGCTCAGGTGCCTGCGAATGGTGCAACTGATGTGCCCGCGAGCTCAAGTCTTGAGGCGAATGAGAAAGAGAGTGCTGCAATGCATGTGGATACGGCATTGCTCCTGCCTGTTGATGCTGTTGCGCATGCCCCCATGCATGCCCCCATGCATGCCCCCATGCATGCCCCCATGCACGCTCCCATGCACGCTCCCGCACCCATGCATGCTTCACCACATGCACCAATGGATGTCTCAGAGCATGCTCCCACACATGCTTCAGCGCATGCTGCAGGGCATGAGGGCGCACATGCTCCCATGCATGCTCCCATGCATGCTCCCATGCATGCCCCCATGCATGCCCCCATGCATGCCCTCATGCATGCCCCCATGCATGCTTCAGCAGCGCATGCTCCTGCTCCCACACATGCTTCAGGGCATGAGGGCGCACATGCGGCCCTGCATGGCTTCATGCAGCATGGAATGGAATTGCTGCCGCAGCTGGGGACTCCCCAGCAGCAGAGGCAGCAGGAGCAGGAGCAGCAACAGCAGGAGCAGCAGCAGCAGCAGCAGCAGCAGCAGCAGCAGCAGCAGCAGCAGCAGCAGCAGCAGCAGCAGCAGCAGCAGCAGCAGCAGCAGCAGCAGCAGCAGCAGCAGCAGCAGCAGCAGCAGCAGCAGCAGCAGCAGCAGCAACGGCAGCAGCAGGAACAGGAGCAGCAACAGCAGCAGCATGGGCCGGACTCACAGCACCATCCCCACCCCACCCCCCACCATCACCACACCTGCCCCTACCACCAGCCGCACCATCACGCCTTAGACTGCAACGCTGCCCACATTCCAACCCACAGAGAAGCTACCACCGCACACCACCCCTCTCTCCACCCTCCGTACCTCTCCCACGGTCCTTCACCCTTCGCTGTCCACCCGTCACAGAGAGAAGGGGCGGGGCAGGCAGAGGGGTGGGAGGGGGTGGGGCACAGTCACGAGCCGATGCTGGTTCCTGTGGGGATGATTTGGGGGGGGACGGCGAATAGAGGGAGGCTGAAGCTGCGGCAGGGGAATGTGAGGGAGAACTGGACGAGCGGGGTGGATTTGCACCGGCTTCTCACGCTGCTGGACCTCGAGATGGTTACCACTGATGAAGAAATACAAGGTGTGTATGAGACTAGCTGGTTACCAGCTGGTTACCACTGACTATTTACTAGTTTTGAGTCGAATCAGAGATGGTACCACTGACGTGACAAGGAGTTACAAGGTGCGTAGTAGTTGGTTAATGGGATTATCAGGAAGCAACAAGTTACAAGGTGTGTATGAGGTGCATGGCTCCTGAAGCTGCTGGATCTCGAGATGGTTACCACTGATGAAGAGTTACAAGGTGTGTATGAGACTATTGGGTTGCCAGTTGGTTACCACTGACTAGTTGCTAGTTTTGAGTCAAATCAGAGATGGTTACCACCGATGAGGAGTTACAAGGTATGTATGGAAGTAATTGGTTTTTATTACCTTGTTGCTCGTCCCCGTTAGCGAGGACCCTGGGACCCTCAAGTTCGTGTATGAAGACTGGTTGTTTTCTTGAGACTCTAAAAATATCAAGGAGTTCCATTTCAAGGAATGTTTGAGGTGTATGGTCCTTGTGTCGAGCCTTGTGAGCTATGGCTGGTATGGCTGGTATGACTGGTATGGCTGGTCAGGATCGGTGGATTGGTGCGAATGCACAATTTAATTGTAGGTGAAACCCACCCTCGCTCACCCCCCCTGTGCCCCTTGTTTTGCTGCTGTCATGTTGGTCTTAATGTGGGTTCCTTGGGGTCTCGTTGTTTGTTGTATGGTGTTGGCCTTCAGAGTTTGCCTCGGCCCAGGCACAAGCAGCAAAGGCAAGAAGGGATGCTAGCCGAGCATCTTCAGATCAGGAAAAAAAACCTTCTTAATCGCTTTGTTTTGGGGATTTTTCTTACCCCGTTGTTCAAGTCCCCCTATTGTTAGTGCCATGAACTTGAAGGTGTAGTACGGTACATCTTTTACCCAGGTAGAGCCAGGGTTCTCAAACTTGAGATTACTGCAGCCTGACTAAACAACCATTCTCCTGCATCCTCGTCTTCCTGTATCAGCTGCGAAGGTCTTCTGGGCGCAATCTCCCGGGCACTCTCCCATCCATCACATAGCCCATCCACATGCACGATCTAAGGGCTAACTCGTGCAGCGTCTTGCGGAAGTGCAGTTCTGCATTTTTTTGCTATTGTTAATGCCTAACCCAATGCATCAAAGCATGTTACATGGGTTGCGTTAGGAGGAAGCACCCAATTTGGTGGCATATGGATTGTATTGTGGTTTTTGTTGGAACTAGCAGGTATTATAGCTTCAAATTGGGTTTTAGGTAGAGTGAGCCCTTCCTGTCGGTTGTCATTTCGCATGCGAGGACATCTTCATTCGAGTCGACCTCCTCGGGCGATTCGAACATTCGAAATCACCGTGCTTGTAACGAGACCTTCACTCCTCGCGGCCCCCTGGCAGTTGCCTTTCCACCTTCCATCTTCCCCAAGATCTGGCTCCAGCAGTATACAGCGAAAGATTGAAAACGGTGACACAATTCGCGAATCCGCGAAGAATGATTCGAACATACTATTTCCCGCGACGATCGACGAACCCTGTAACGGATAATGAGGTGAGAGTTTCGTAGCGATGAATAATAAGTGGTTGGGAACACTCGAGTTGCAGTCTGTCTTCTGTCAACACTTTCAGCAGCCAGTAGGGTTTCATTATTCCGCACTTTCCCGTGCACTTTTTCCGGCTATGGCTTCCCCTCGCCACCACACAAGATGAGCAACATCGAGGTCGGTCCTTTCGTAACTTCCACAAGTGGCGGGTCAATAGAGAGAGACTTGTGACTGGTGCTTCGACCTGCAATCAGCAGAGGATTGTAACTTCGACTTGTAGGAGGCGTCTTGGTAGTGTCGTACAGTACAGGATTCTGAAGGCACAAGGCAGTTCTGTGGTGAGCAATTCTTGCTTGCTGGAGTCATTCCATATTTCCTGGCATTCGCTCGAGGCCGTGGTTGTATGCGTTCGATTGTCGTCAAGACGAAGAAATCCCGCAATGTTTCGGATCTGGTGTTTCTTGCACGCATCTCATACTGTCGCTTGTAACTCGCCTTTCCACGTCGAGTCGCGCTCCCTAGCTTTCGGATTAGCTCCTCTGGCTCTTTTAGCTTCGCTGGGAACACACGATGCGAGCAGCAGCAGCATCATGTAGCCCTCCTGATACTCCCTCGTTGTCGCCAGCAAGTCTTGTTACCCGTCCCTGTGTTACCACCGATACTTCGCAACGACCTAAAGCTGGTGAAGCCTTACGTACATCTGTACCCGTTATAAGCCGTGCTGTTGATAACCCGTCGTCTGTTAGTGTTCCCGGCGTAACAGTGCCAGTCGCTCCTGGAGCTTCGCCGTATCCATCTCCTGTTAGGGTTCCGTCTCTCGCGCCTCTTGGTGATTCGCCCTCCTCTCCTCCTCCCGGCATCGGGGCAGCTTCACCCGCGCCCCTGCATCGCGTGCCGTCTCAGCAATGGTCCACGGCTGCTGCTACAGCCGACGTTCCAACCGCCGCTACATCCAACGCTACAGCCGACGCCACGGCGCCTGCAGCAGCTGTAGCAGCCCCAGAAGCTCCAGTGTTTGGTCAAGAGCGTCAGACGCACCGCCTCCTCCCGTCAGCCGCTTACGGTGTTCTTTCAGTCGCAGCACCGGCTCCTGGCGACGCCATGGCGACAAATTCCGTCGCAATCCCGTCGCTCAGCCTCCCTCACGCTGCCCTACCGCCTGTTCCACCGTCGCGGTATATGCCAAGGGGAGAAGGGGAGGGCGGAGCCTCCGTTGCAGTCACCGCAGACGGGGGGGGAGTTGTTGGCGCAAATTGGTCGTTTCCGCCGCCGATGCCCGGGGTGTCGTATTCTTCCGCGCCCCATATCGCCCCGCAAACCATGCCAGCTGCGGAAATAACCCCCGCGGGTTTCCCCAAAAGCCCCCTGATCCTTCCCGCCGCGGAGATGCCCGCAGGCGCAGTCCCCCCCGCTTCCCCGGGTCTGTCCGCGGTTCAGGTCTGCATGTCGCCGCTGCTGATTCCCGCGCCTCTGCAGCTACCGCATGCACCCCTTGCGCCGGTTATGCAGCCGGTCATGTCGCCGGTTATGCAGCCGGTCATGTCGCCGGCTATGCAGCCGGCTATGTCACCGGTTATGCGGCCGGTTATGTCGCCGGTGTTGCGGCCGGTTATGCCGGTGATGCACCCGAATCTCGTGAGCACGCTCAAGTCTATTATCTCTTCGTCCCCGTCCGATCAGCAAAGTCCGGCGCAGGCGCAGGTTCAGGCGCAGGGTCAGGCGCAGGAGCAGGCGCAGGGGTGGGGGAGGGAGGCGCGGGGACAGGCGCAGATGTGGGGATGGACGGCTGGGCAGGAGCAGGGGCAGGCGCAGATGCAGGCGCATGTGCAGGCACAGGGGCAGCAGCGACAGCAACCGTGGTGGCATCTGCAGCAGCCGCAGTCGCAACCGCAGTCGCCGCAGCAGCTACCGATGCATAGCATGCGACGTGTGCGATCCCACGAGCAGATGCGACAGCTGGATCTGGTGATGCGCCGTCGCTTTGGTCGCTGGTCGCCAGACGCGACGTCGCGCGCGTCGCATAGCGCCTCGTTTGGGTCGCACAGCCCCGTCGTTGTGTCGTCTGCTGCGTCTGCGACACCATCTGTAGCCGTGTTAGCCCCCCCGGCCACTGATCCTAGCGCAATTGACGGCAGTGTAAGGAGCGCTCAAGCATCCGCGTTACGATCAGCCTCGATATCGTCCGTTCGGCCAACAGCAGCAGCAACAGCAGCGGCAGGAGCAGGAGCAGCAGCAGCGGCGGCAACAGCAGTAGGGCCTGGTTTGGAATGGTCTTCATCACCCCCACCTCTTTCCCCAACCCGCCACACTCACCAGATGCGCCTCTCTGCGTCTCTGCCGTCCCTCCCTCGGGTACCAGAAACTTCAGTGCCTCTTGATCCCAGCTTCGCGGAACTTTCCCAGCCCACTGTCTCGCCTGCTGCTTCCCCCACTGCTGCTCTCCCCCGTTTGCCCCCGCTTTACTTCTCCGCCGCTTCCGCCTCTCCGCGAAGGCCCTGCGTCCCCGCGCCTTCCCGCTCGTCCCCAGCTCCTCCGCTGGCATCCCCGTCCGCCCAGCCTGCGCGCGCCCCCTCATTTCCCCCCGCATGCCCGCCCGCGCCTGCATCCGCACCATCAACTCCCTCCGCACAATTCGCTTCCGCCCCGCCACTCCACCCCGCGTCCCTGTCCGCGCCTGCGTTTCTGTGTTCCGCGCCTGCCCTTCCCCCGACCTCCCCCGCGCCAGTAGCCGCGGACGGCTCTTCCGCCCTCCGCTCTGCCGCTTCCGCGGGCTCCCTTCCCCAGCCCCTCACACTGCCGCCCAGCAGTGTGCCGCCCAGCAGCCATTCAGGGGACACTTTGCCGCCCATGCCGCCCAGCAGCATTGCAGACAGTACCATTCTACCCACTAGGCCACAGAACAAGAAGGGTTTGAAGCGCGGATCGGAGGAGGAGGGGGGTGAGGCAGGTTGGGACTCCGTCCCTTGTCAGAAGCGAGCGAGAAGGGAGAGTGGTTCGGCCGTTGCTGACGGTGCTGCTGCTGCTGGTGCTGTTGGTGGTGTTGGTTCTGCTGGCGCGGTCGATTCTGCCGCTTCTGCTGCTGTTGCTGGTGCTGCTGCTGCTGGTGCTGCTGCTGACGCCTCTGCCGCTGTTGACGCGGTTGAGTCTGCTGATGCTGCTTGTGCTTCTGAGTCGCCCGTTCTCTCAGCCCCTCCCACCTTTCCCCGCCCCGCCCCACCTCCCGACACCACCGCTCTGCTAGACTCTCTCATTCTACCTGACCCCCCTGAGCCTGTTTCCACCCCTGAGCCTCCTATCTCACAGGACCTCCCCCTTTTGCCTCCCCCTCTGCCCGATGCTACGCTACTTGACGCCCCTACTCTGCTCGACCCTCCCACCCTCTTGGATCCTCCATCTCTGCAAGACTCTTCAGTGCTGCCGGTGCCGTCGCCTCTCCCTGACGTTGATTCTGTCGACCTGCCTCCCTTGGACCTGTCGCTGCCGCTGCCGCTGCCGTCCGCTCTGCCACTTTCACTGCCGCCAGCTGGGAAACCGATGGAACAAGTGCTCGACGTTCCGGCAATTAACACTGCTGCGCCATATTCGGTTGTAGCAGACGCAGATGCAGCAGATGCGGTCGTAGCGAATGGAGTTGTAGCAGGTGCAGTTGTAGCGGAGGTGGTTGTAGCAGATTCGGTTGTAGCAGACGCTGTTGTAGCAGATTCAGTTGTAGCATGCGCGGTTGTAGCGGATGGGGCTGTAGTGGAAGGGGTTGTAACGGATGGGGTTGTAGTGAATGAAGTTGTAGCAGATGGGGTCGTAGCAGGTGCAGTTGTAGCAGGTACGGATGCTGCTGCAGCAGCAGATGCAGGAGCAGCCACAGCAACAGCAGCAGCAGCAGCAGATGCAGGGGCAGCCACAGCAGCAGCAGCAGCCAATGCTGATGCGCCTATGCCTGCTCTCCCCTCTCCCTCTGTCGCTGCTACTGCTGACCGCCCCACTGAAATTGCTGCTGTTCTTTCTGAAGAACCTCAAGGACTGGCTGCCGCTGCTGTCCCCACTGCCGCTATCACCGCCACTCAGGTTTCAGCAACAACACCTGGTGCAAATGCTGTTGCTCCTGAGTCGACTCAGAAGCGCAGTGTCCCTGACGTTGCAACAACAACGCCTGTTACAAATGCTGCTGCTTCTGAGTCAGCTCAAATCTGCACTGTTGTTGAGGCTGCGCCCACTGCCCCCACTGAACCTGCAACAACTGTACCTGGTGCAGGTGATGCCACTGCTGCTACAGCCGGGTCTCTCATTGCTGCTACAGCTGCTCCTCTGACTGATGCGACAGCCGCTGCTGTGATGGACGTTGCTAAAGAATCTAGTGTGCGCTTTGCTACAGCTGCCCATGTGGGTGCTGCTGTGGCTGCTGCTACAGCAGATGTGGCTGCTGCTACAGCTGGCAATGGAGTTGCTGTTATGGTTGCTGCTACAGCAGATGTGGCTGCTGCTGATAACGTTGCAGTTGCAGCAGCAGATGCTGCTGCCCAGGGTGCGGGAGCGGTGGGTTCAGACACAGCGGGCCAACCTGCAGGGGCTGCTTTGGCGCTTCTGAATGGACCCCTAGTTGCTGGCGGTTCAGACACTGGGGGGGTCACAAGCACTGCTGCTGCTGGTGGTGCTACAACGGACGCTGACGCTGGTGCTGCTGCTTCTGGTGCTGGCGCTGGCGCTGCTGCTCCTGCTGTTGCTGAGGCTGCACCTATGGGTATGTCTGCTGAGCCTACTGCAGGCACTCACTTTCCCCCATCACAAGGAGTCACAGACACGGGTGCCTCAAACACGTTTGGCCTCTCAGGCGCTTTAGTAACAGCAGGCGTACCAGCAGCACATTCTAGAGTGGCTCTGGTGCAAGGAACAGGGCCTTTGATCTCGGAGAAAACAGATACCGCCACTGCCATTGGCACGCCAGCTCATATTCCTACCGCCTCTGCCATTGGCGAAGCAGCGCAAATTCCCACTACCACTGCCGACAGCAAACCAGCGCATACAATTACTGCCACACGAGTAGATAGCACCACTGCGAATGCCGGGTCAGCACATACCCCCACCGCCAGACAAGCAGAGATTGTCTCGCTCGACCTTATCCACAACCGCCGCCCGTTCCTGTGCCACGTCAGCGACTGCGGGAAAACTTTCAAGAATTGGCAGACGCTGAAAATGCATCTGCGCACGCACGATCTGCCCGACGCGGTGTTCCAGGCGGCGTGTGAGGATGCTCTGGGGCCGCGGCACGGGGGCAGCAAGGCCGGGCAGAATAAAAAGATTCCGTCGCGCTGCCCGGAGTGCGGGAAGACGTTTGTGGGGCTGTATGAGCTGAGGCGGCACTTTGGAAGGAAGCACCAGCAGGGGGAGAAGCCGTACGCGTGCGCCAAGTGCAGCAAGCGGTTCTTTGTTGAGGTAAGGACCTCTTGCCTTTCTCACGCTTCTCAACCCTGTGCTGCTGTGCTGATGTGCACTCCACTGTTGCTTCATGTCTTTTCTCTTTCCCCCCTCTTTCTTGCCCGCTCCCCCCCCATTCTCATCCTCCCTCTCGTCTCACTCTTTCCTCCCCAACAACCTCTCCAGGTAGACTTGAGAAGATGTGTGAACAGATGCTGGTGTGTCGCTGCGGCATGCTATGAGGCACATCAACCTTACTGTCTTCTGCCCCCTGTCGTTCCCCTCCCGCCGCCACCCACCACCCCCCCACCCCCTCTACCCACCCCCCAGGCGGATTTGAGCGACCACGGGAAGATGTGTGGGCAGATGCTGGTGTGCCGCTAATGCTGCTCCATGTCTTGACATGTTTCCCTCCCTCCCTCCTGTTGTCTGCCCCCTGTTTTTCCCTCCCAACCACAACCCTCAATCCCCCAGGCGGATTTGAGGGACCACGGGAAGATGTGTGGGCAGATGCTGGTGTGCCGCTAATGCTGCTCCATGTCTTGACATGTTTCCCTCCCTTCCTCCTGTTGTCTGCCCCCTGTTTTTCCCTCCCAACCACAACCCTCAATCCCCCAGGCGGATTTGAGGGACCACGGGAAGATGTGTGGGCAGATGCTGGTGTGCCGCTAATGCTGCTCCATGTCTTGACATGTTTCCCTCCCTCCCTCCTGTTGTCTGCCCCCTGTTTTTCCCTCCCGACCACAACCCTCAATCCCCCAGGCGGATTTGAGGGACCACGGGAAGATGTGTGGGCAGATGCTGGTGTGCCGCTAATGCTGCTCCATGTCTTGACATGTTTCCCTCCCTCCCTCCTGTTGTCTGCCCCCTGTTTTTCCCTCCCGACCACAACCCTCAATCCCCCAGGCGGATTTGAGGGACCACGGGAAGATGTGTGGGCAGATGCTGGTGTGCCGCTAATGCTGCTCCATGTCTTGACATGTTTCCCTCCCTCCCTCCTGTTGTCTGCCCCCTGTTTTTCCCTCCCAACCACAACCCTCAATCCCCCAGGCGGATTTGAGGGACCACGGGAAGATGTGTGGGCAGATGCTGGTGTGCCGCTAATGCTGCTCCATGTCTTGACATGTTTCCCTCCCTCCCTCCTGTTGTCTGCCCCCTGTTTTTCCCTCCCGACCACAACCCTCAATCCCCCAGGCGGATTTGAGGGACCACGGGAAGATGTGTGGGCAGATGCTGGTGTGCCGCTAATGCTGCTCCATGTCTTGACATGTTTCCCTCCCTCCCTCCTGTTGTCTGCCCCCTGTTTTTCCCTCCCGACCACAACCCTCAATCCCCCAGGCGGATTTGAGGGACCATGGGAAGATGTGTGGGCAGATGCTGGTGTGCCGCTGTGGCATGCAGTTTGCCTTCAAGTGCAACCTCGTGAACCACTTGCGCTCCCACCCCCTCTGCCAATTCCTCTCCGCCGCCGCCCCTGCCCTTCCCCCCGCCCCTCCTTCCCTCTTTACCTCCCATCACTGCTGCTGCTGCGCCACTGCTGCTTCATGCCTACACTTTCCCTCTCCTTCCCCTCTCCCCCTCCCCCTCCACCCCTCCAGGCGGATCTGAGGGACCACGGGAAGATGTGTGGGCAGATGCTGGTGTGCCGCTGCGGCATGCAGTTTGCCTTCAAGTGCAACCTCGTCAACCACATGCGCTCCCGCCCCCTCTGCCAACTCCTCTCCGCCGCCAACCCCATTCCGCCCCCCGCTGCTCCCCCCATCCCCGCTGCTGCCGCTTCCGCTGCTGCTGTGGCTGCTGCTACTGCTGCTGCTGCTGCTGCTGGAAGTGCAGGGGGAGGGGGAGGGGGAGGGGGAGGGGGTGGGGAAGGGCTAGGGGCAGGGGCAGGGGGAGGGACAGGGGAAGGGGCAGAGGCAGGGGCAAGGGCAGGAGGAGCAGTGGGAGTACAGCTAGGGGCGATGGCAGGCGTTTCAAAGCCTGCTAGTCGTGGCAATGCTAAGAGGGGCAGGGCTGCTGCTTGTGTAGGGAGGATGGGGAGGGCGGGGAGAGGGAGCAGTGCTTGTGCTGCTGCTGCCGCCGCTGCTTCTGTTGCTGCTGCTGCCGCTGCCAGCGGGTCAAGAGTGTACGCGCTTGCCCCACAGGACCCTAATGTGCGTGCAGAGGTGGGTAATGGCGTTTGGTTGTCTCAGCAGCAGCAGCAGCAGCAGCAGCAGCAATTGCAGCAGGAGCAGGAGCAGCAGGTGCAGCTGCGATTGCAGCAGGGGCAACAGTTTCTGCTGCAGCAACAGCAGCAGCAGCAGCAGCAAATGCAGCAAATGCTGCAACAGCAGCAAATGCAGCAGGAGCAGCAGCAGATGATGCTGCAGCAACAGCAACAACAGCAGCAGCACATGCAGCAGCAACAGCAACAACAGCAGCAGCAGGAGGAGCAGCAGCAGAGCAGGGAGCATTTCTGGCAGCTGCAGCGGCACCAGCAGCAAGCAAGGGAGGCCCACCGGGTGTGGTGTGAGGAGCAGGAGGCGGGCGTTGAACGGGCTCGAAAGGAGAGGAAGGCTGGTCAGAAGCAGGCACGGCAGAAGCAGAACAGAGGCGCCAGGAAGCAGTGCCAGGAGCAGCAGCAGCAACAGCAACAGGAAGAGCAACAGCAACAGAGTCAGCAGCAGCTGCAACAGCAGCAGGGGCTGCAGCAGCAGCAGTTGAATCAGCAGCAGGAACATATACAGCAGCAGGTCCCCCCCGTGCGCACCTCGTGCACTCCCCAAGACTCCAAACTCACCACTGCCTTCTCTCCCCTCTCCAACGCTCATGCAGAAGTAGTACCAGCTGAAAACGCTCCTCATTGCCGCTCGTCCCCGCAAGCTACAGCTGCAGCAGCTTCACAGGCTGCAGCACTTGCTGCTACAGCTGCTGCTACAGCTGCTTCTATAGCTGCTGCCACTGCTTCTACTGCTTCTGCTGCCGGTGCTGCTGCGAATACACAACTTGGAAAGACACAAGGTGAAGCCTTTCCAGGCCAGATGGGACCACCTTTGTCACAGTTTCCAGGAGCTTTCTTCGCGCATTCTCTCATGCCCCCGTTTGCACACCCTGGGATGCACCCTGGATTGCACCCTGCGATGCAACCTGGAACGCAACCGGGAACGCACCCTGGAACACACCCTGGGATGCACCTGCAGCAGTATCCTAGTGCTTTGGGCCTTACCCCGTTCCCATCGCTCATTCCCAGTCCGGTTTACCCATACCATCCTCCTCCTCAAGCTTCGATCTCCACCGCTCCTGCTACAGCCGGAGCTAGTGTTGCTGCTACAGCCGGCACTGTGTTTCCTGCTGTTCCTGCTGACCTGGCCGCCAGCTCATCTGCTCCATCGATGCACGTGGCTACAGCCGTATCTGCTGGTGCTACAGCTTCTGGCACTACAGCTGCCGGTGCTACAGCCTTCCTCCCCCCCATGGGATTTGTGCCGTTCAATGCTCCTTAGCCTTGCTACAGCTGCCAGTGCTACAGCCTTGGGGTCTGCTGGTGCTACAGCTTCTGGCACTACAGCTGCCGGTGCTACAGCTTCCGGTGCTACAGCTGGCAGTGCTACAGCCTTCCTCCCCCCAATGGGATTTGTGCCGTTCAATGCTCCTTAGCCTTGCTACAACCCGCTGTTTGCTGCTGCAGATACGAGACTAAGGGGAACGGGTGAGGGGATGGGCGGAGGTGTGGGGGGAGGTGGATGGGGAGGTGTTGGGGGAGGAGGAGTTGGGGAAGGGGAGGGTGGGTAGATGCCTGGATGATGTGGGTTGAGAGATGGGGAGAGTGACGGGAAACAACGGAGTGAACAGAGAGTGTGTGCGGCAGTAGTAAGGGATGGGTGGAGAAGGCTTTTGTACCTGCAGCAGCTGTAGCAGCAGGGGTGCAGCGGCTGTAGCGGTTGTGTCAACCTGTGCGCAGAACTCAACTGTGCTTATACTGGTTTAACCGAAACTGAGGCTTAGAGGCAGCCTGGAGGCTAGCTATCAAGGAGATGGGGATGAGTGGAGGAATGAGTGGAGAATGAGTGGAGAATGAGTGAGGAATGAGTGGGGGATGAGTGGCGGATGAGTCGGGGAGGAGCAGGGCGGGAGACAGAGCGTGGGGAGGGTGTTTCTGCACAGGGTGTGTGTGGGTAGGACATCTGTGTGGAGAGGGCGAGTGTAGGTTGGGGAGGTAAGACTTGTGAGTGCCGGTAGGAGTTTGCAAGGCTGCATGTGATGGGGGATGGGGAAAGAAGCAGAGACAGTGGCAGCAGCGCCGGCGGGTGTGCTGTATTGAGATGCCTCCAACAATGCATGCTTGCAGCTGTGGTGATGAGGTGGCAGCTGTGGTGATGAGGTGGCAGCTGTGGTGATGAGGTGGCAACTGCGATGATGAGATGGCAGCTGCGATGATGATGTGGCAGCTGTTGGCGCGCTACGGGTGTATCCGCAGTGTGGCATCTCTCATGGCACCAGCTGATTGGTTGGCACCAGCTGGCAGCAGCTGATTGGTTGGCACGGGTAAATGGGCGGAGCTGCGGAGGAGTCTGGCTGATGCCCGGCAGATGTGAGATCTGAAGTGATGGATATAATGCATGTCACTCTGCCACAGGCGGGGTATACGAGAATGAATGGCCACTGCAAGTGGGCATTCTCTTCAGGAGAGCCTCTTTTCTACTGGAGGATTGGGACTTCTGGAGTTACAGTTACAGCTACACTGAATGGGCTCTACACTCCGGTGATCTGACCACTAAAGTGGTCAACGTACTACAGTATACATTCATGCTCGAGACGGCGGCGGTGACATGTTCCCAAGGCTTCTATACAGGTATGCCGATTGTTTCAGGAGCACTGGAGCATAGGTTACCTACCATACGCGAGATGTTACCGTTAGATCTTGAGTGTTACACTTTTGGGTGTAGGTATGCAGCCTACCTCATTATATGGGATTTCGGGGAAGGAACAACCTTGTGAAGGGCCTTTTCTAATAATTTCTTTACGCTCTTTGACTCTGGTTTGATTTGTACTATTACTGCTTTCATTTCATGCTTTGTGCCCTCTCTTTTCATTTCGTGCAAAAATCCTGTTCAACATGGTGAAATATTGTTATACGAAATTCGTAGGGTTTAGGGTGAGCTCTCACAACCCTATCGTGAAACGGATGCTGATTAGTGGAAAAGGAGAGGACGTGGCGTGGAAACATGCGCTCAGCATCAACTGGACAAGAAGGCACTAGTGTGTGACAATTCGATAACGCCAGCTACCAGTACATTGAAATCTACACTACCTGCACCCAAGCTCCAACACATCAGTTCATACATTTTTTTCAAAAGTTTCTTTTTCAAAACAGGTTATGTTCAGTAAAACATGTATTGGTCATCGGGATCAATGCCATCTGCACCATACAGCTGATCCGCTCCCCCGCCTCCTCCCCACACTGCCTCTCCTGCCCCATCCTCGTTATAGTGCTCCTCACCCGCTTCCACATGGTACTGCACCCCATTCACATCATGGTACTTCGTTTCTTCCCCATCAGCAGCTGCATGTGCCTCTGCTGCCTCCTCCTCTTCCTCACCACCACCACCATCACCTGCACCATCCCCATTATGTAACCCAGGAGCACCATCCATATCACCCTCCTCCCCATCCACTCCCCTATGCTCCACATTATCATCATGCCCCACCCCCATGTCTCCTTCCACATGCCCTGCTGACTCAGCACCGTACGCAGCTGACTCATCACCATACCCACCCAGCGCACCATCCCCTCCCCACGGCTCGTCTCCACCCAAGCCTGCTTCTGCTCCATCAGGATCATGCCCCCCTGCTTCTGCTCCACCATACCCCCCTGCTAGTGGCCCTTCCTCTGCACCTGCTATCACTGCATCAGCAGCAGCAGCAGCAGCCTCATCAGCCCACCGCACGTGCTGCTGTTTCTTTGGCTGGCCTTGCCCAGCTGCAGCATCAGCCCCAGCTCCAGCCCCAGCAGCTCCAGCCCCAGCAGCAGTAGCAGCAGCGCCAGCACCATCAGAAAAGAGCTGTCCAAGTGCCTCCATGTTCACATGTGCAGAGCTCTGCATGGTGGAAGGGAGTGGGAAGGACGAAGCGAGGAGTGGAAGGGAGTGGGAAGGAAGAAGCGAGGAGTGGAAGGGAGTGGAGGGGAGTGGAAGGGAATTGAGGGGTGTGGAAGGGAATGGAGGGGTGTGGAAGGGAATGGAGGGGTGTGGAAGGGAATGGAGGGGTGTGGAAGGGAATGGAGGGGTGTGGAAGGGAATGGAGGGGTGTGGAAGGGAATGGAGGGGTGTAGGAAGAAAGAACGGGAGATCGAAGCAGCAGCAGCACTAGTGGAGAGGAAGAGGAGGAGGAGGAGGAGGAGGAGGAGGAGGAGGAGGAGGAAGAGGAGGAGGAGGAGGAGGAGGAGGAGGAGGAGGAGGAGGAGGAGGAGGAGGAGGAGGAGGAGGAGGAGGAAGAGGAGGAGGGGAAAGAGAGGAGAGGAGGATGAGGGCTAGTATGGGCGCCAGGGGACACAGTGTAGAAGCAGAAGAAAGGCCCACCTTCTTGTCGAGAGGAAAGAGGAAAGAGGAAAGAGGAAAGAGCCCCACCTTCTTGTCAAGAACCCTCTTGGCAGCTTCCGCTGCTGACTGGGCAGGACCCAGTGCTGCCTCGTCCTTGCGCCTCCGCTTGCGATCGAGCCCTCCCTGCAAATGTGTTCAAGAGACACAGTTAAGACAACTCTGAATGAATACATTCTGCTTGATATCAATGATATCATGTAGCTATTAACAGCTTTAATGCTTCTTGGCAGTGAGTGGCACACAACAGGTGTGCAGCAGTGCAGAGGGATATACCCCAGCACACACAAAGGCAAACCTTCCGCAGCAACGCAGCACAGCGCTGCAGCGCAGCACGGCAGCGCTATGGATTTACGATTGCGCTGGAAGACACACCAAGGCATACCTATAGGAGAACTGTGCTATGGTGGTATTGCTGAGAACACACACTAGAACACAACAGGACACAACTTTTGCAGCGCTGCCGCAGCAGCTGCAGCCACGCCGCAGCAGCACGTGCTGACGTCACTGCACTGCACCACGTTTGCCCGCCACTGCTGCAGCGCTGCTGCGACACTGTCACAGAAACATACACCAAGAGGCACCTTCTGAAGCACAGCAGCAGCAGCTATGGCGGCAGCAGCAGCACGGGCCGACGTCCCGGCACCACATTTGCCCGCTGCTGCAGCCGCTGCCGCCGCCACCGCCGCCACCTGGTCCTCTGCTGCCCGCTGCAACGTGCCCTTTGGCCACTCATCTCATCATCTCATCTCATCCTATAGCCTCGAAAAGGTACCTTCCCACTGTCTCAACTCAAGCACTGGAGCACTCCACCTGCACTGCACTGCAGTAGCACTGCACGACACACTTAAACGCACCTTTTGCAGCACTGCAGCAGCAGCTGCGGCGGCAGCAGCAGCACGGGCCGACGTCCCGGCACCACATTTGCTCGCCGCTGCAGCCGCTGCAGCTGCCACCGCCGCCACCTGGTCCTCTGCTGCCCGCTGTGCCGCCTGCTTCTGCTCCAACTCCTCTAGATACTCCTTGTTCATCTCCGTCCATATGAGCGTCTTCAGCTTCACCTCCTCCTCTCCTAAGAGATACCCGTCCACCTGTAATGGGGATGGAAAGGCAGGGTAGAGAGTGGGGAGGGAGGGCTGTGAAGCAAGTCGCTTCTGCTGCAGCTCCTCCCGATACTCCTTGTTCATCTCCCTCCATATTAAGGTTTTCAGCTTCAATTCCTCTTGGCCTAGCAGGTAGGTACCCATCCACATGCAGTGGGGAAGGAGGGTGGGCTGTAGGTTACTTTTGAGGCGCCTCAAAAGGAGGGTGGGCTGTAGGTTACTTTTGAGGCGCCTCAAAAGGAGGGTGGGCTGTAGGTTACTTTTGAGGCGCCTCAAAAGGAGGGTGGGCTGTAGGTTACTTTTGAGGCGCCTCAAAAGGAGGGTGGGCTGTAGGTTACTTTTGAGGCGCCTCAAAAGGAGGGTGGGCTGTAGGTTACTTTTGAGGCGCCTCAAAAGGAGGGTGGGCTGTAGGTTACTTTTGAGGCGCCTCAAAAGGAGGGTGGGCTGTAGGTTACTTTTGAGGCGCCTCAAAAGGAGGGTGGGCTGTAGGTTACTTTTGAGGCGCCTCAAAAGGAGGGTGGGCTGTAGGTTATTTTTGAGGCGCCTCAAAAGGAGGGTGGGCTGTAGGTTACTTTTGAGGCGCCTCAAAAGGAGGGTGGGCTGTAGGTTACTTTTGAGGCGCCTCAAAAGGAGGGTGGGCTGTAGGTTACTTTTGAGGCGCCTCAAAAGGAGGGTGGGCTGTAGGTTACTTTTGAGGCGCCTCAAAAGGAGGGTGGGCTGTAGGTTACTTTTGAGGCGCCTCAAAAGGAGGGTGGGCTGTAGGTTACTTTTGAGGCGCCTCAAAAGGAGGGTGGGCTGTAGGTTACTTTTGAGGCGCCTCAAAAGGAGGGTGGGCTGTAGGTTACTTTTGAGGCGCCTCAAAAGGAGGGTGGGCTGTAGGTTACTTTTGAGGCGCCTCAGAAGGAGGGTGGGCTGTAGGGGGCATCTCTTCTCCATCTCCCCCAAAGGCAATCGTGTGAAGCGGCAATGGGATAACCAATAGCTCTCAAGAGACAGGGAGGGAGGGTGTGGTGCGGAAGGGAGAAAGACAGAACCTAAACAACGTGATGCTTCTCCTCCACCACCTGATGAAAATCACGTTTGAGAATTCTCAAAAGTGAAGCTTCTCCTCCACCTGATGATCCTCACGACCACTTGCGTTTTGAGACGTCTCAAAACTAAAAAATCTGCTTCTCCTCCACCTGATGATCCTCACGACCACTTGCGTTTTGAGACGTCTCAAAACTCAAAACTCTGCTTCTCCTCCACCTGATGATCCTCACGGCCTCTTGCTTCGCTACTGCGATTGGCTTGTGGTGGAGTGACCAATGAGACGTTACCTCGTGATCCTCTATATCCGACAAAGTATCTTCCTCCTCTTCTTCCTCCTCTTCCTCCTCCTCTTCCTCCTCCTCATCTTCCACCCCCTCCTGCTCCTCCTCCCCAATCTCCCCAACGCTTCCCCCGAACCTCCCTCCGCCGCCCATCCCACCCTCTTCCCTAGCCAAGAAATCCGGATCGGGGTCATCCACCAGGCTCGGATCTATGCCTGCCGAACCTAGGCCGTCAGGCCTGGCCGAGCCTAGGGTGTCTGGTTCGGCAGGGCCCAGGGAGTCTGGAAGGGTGTGGACCACGAGGGGAGCGATTTCGGCTCGGTGCAGAGCTGCGTCTAGATCCTGTTGGGTGGAGTGGGGTGGGGTGGGGTGGGGTGCGCAAGGATGAGGTGGGTAAAGAGGAAAGGGAATGTGGAACTCACTCTCACAAACCAGACGCACGCACGCACGCACGCACGCACGCACGCACGCACGCACGCACGCACGCACGCACGCACGCACGCACGCACGCACGCACGCACGCCCGCACGCCCGCACGCACGCACACACGCACACACGCACGCACACGCACGCACGAACGCACTCACAGAGGAGTGGGTGGGCTTTCGAGTCGACTCAGTAATCAACACAAAGCAGACACACAAGCAAACGCAAGCACTCACAAAGAGCAGAGGGTGGGCTTTCAGGCTTACTTTTGCGCAGATTCAGAAGTTACGGGTTTAGGGTTTAGGGTATACATGCAACATGCAAACCTCACCCACCTGTGCATACAACCCCATACCTGCATGCATGAATCCATGCAACCTCACCCATGTGCCTTTACCCCACCCCCCCCACCTCACACACTCACCTTCTCAATTCTCTGCCTTGCTCTTTCTCGCCTCGACACCCCCTCCTTCCCCCCCTTCCCTCCCTTCCCTCCCGCTTTCGCAGCAACCACCCCTTTCCCTGCTGCCACCGCCACCCCCGCACCTCCGCCCTTCCCCTTCTGCCCAAAGGCCATGACTTCCCTTCCAACTCCCCACTCCTCCCCTTCCTCCTCCCCCTCCCCCGCCTCCCTTTCCTCCTGTCCGAACACGCTGTACACAGTGAGGCGGCTCCTCCGCCTCCTCAGCTCTGCTTTGCGCTGCTCCCTCTCCCCCCGCCCCCATGCAGGCGGGTTGGCCCCCCCTACCAAACCTCCGCTTGTCCGTGCCAGCTGGGGGGAAGGGGAAAGGGAGGATGGGAGGATGCGATGTGATGGCATGACACTTGGTGGGTACATATCAGAGCACAGCTCACACGCAGCACATTCATGCCACAGCACGTACCATGTCATAGCATGGCCTGCAGAGCCCATGGGTGAAATGAGCTGTCCCAGCCTCCTCATGATGGCACTGTATCACCAGTAGCAGTACACCATACCATACCATACCATACCATACCATACCATACCATACCATACCGTTACCGCACTACACCGCTCCGTACCATGTCATAGCACGGCCTGCAGAGCCCATGTGCAAAATGAGCCGCCCCAGCATCCTTATGCTGACATTGCGTCAAATACACCTCCCCCACTTCCCCCCCACCCACGCCCCCACCCCCATTCGCCACCACCACCCCTTCCTCTTCCCCCTGCTCCACCTCCCCCGCTCCCCCCTCCCCCACCTCCCCCTCCCCATCATCCCCACCACCCGGTTCCCCATACCCCCCTGCGCCTCCCCTCGCCCCTCCCCCTGCTGCTGCCCCCTTCCCATGTTTGCTCTTTGCAGCAAGGGCGGCAGCGGCAGGGGCGAGGGCAGAGGCAGGAGGGGCGAGAGCAGGGGTAGGCGGCTGGGCGGAAAAGAGAAGTTCGTCCCACTCCTTGCCCTTCTCCTCGAATTCCTCCGGCTAGTGGGGGAAGGAGGGGGGAAGAAATGAAGGGAAGGGGGTGGGACTTGGAGCAAGCAGATGGCCCGGTGCACGCGTGTGGTTAGGCGGCTGGGTGGAGAAGAGCAGCTCATCCCACCCACTCCTTGGCCTTCTCTTCGAACTCCTCAGGCTGGGGAAAGGGAGGTGGCGGAAGTTGGAGGGGTTATATGGAGTGCGGAGAGAGGAGGGAGCATATCACATGATGTGTGTGGGTGGCTACGTGGCTGGGTGGAGAAAAGAAGCTCGTCCCACTCCTTGGCCTTTCTCTTCGATCAACGACTAGGTATATGAGTTGTGTTTTGAGTCGACTCAAAGATTGTCGGGGTTCAGGAGGTTGGAAGGAAATGGAGTGAGGAGGGAGAAATTGGCATGGTGTGTGGAAGTGGGTGACCGAGACTAGAAAAAAAATGAGGGGGGAGGGAGGAGGGGAGGAATAGCGAGTGGTCTATAAGCAGACTTCAGGGAAACATGGGGTGTAAGAGTAAGAGGAGAGGGGGCACTTACAGTGAGCCCGCCTGCCTCGGTGCCCGCAAACTCTTGCGAACAAATAATGGAAGAGGAGAGGGGGCAGTGCGTCACCGACTTACAGTGAGTCCGCCTGCCTCTGTGCCTTCAAACTCATGCAATCGGTGCCGCACGGTCTGCTCGCACACATGCACCACTGCCACCTGCATGCAGCGTGAGGGAGAGAGAGTGAGAGAATGAGGGAGCGTGAGGGAGAGTGAGGGAGAGTGAGGGAGAGTGAGGGAGAGTGCAGTGCAGTGCAAGTCAGGCGGTGCCGCATGGTCTGCTCACACACTTGCACCACTGCCACCTGCATGTGGGAGGCGTGTTGTGAGAGGAGGACGGGTGTTCACTGTGAGGCCTGCCTATCTGCCTCTGTGCCTTCCCACTCGTGCAGGTCAGGTCAGGTCAGGTCAGGTCAGGTCAGGTCAGGTCAGGTCAGGTCAGGTCAGGTCAGGTCAGGTCAGGTCAGGTCAGGTCAGGTCAGGACAGGTCAGGACAGGTCACGTCGGGGCAAGTCAAGTCGGGTCGGGTCGAGTCGGGTCGGGTTGGGTCGGGTCGGGTTGGGTCAGGTCGGGTAGGGTTGGGTTGGGTCGGGTAGGGTTGGGTCGGGTCGGGTTGGGATGGGTCGGGTCTGGTTGGGTTGGGTCGAGTCAGGCGATACCGCATGCAAGGTCTGCTCACACGCTGCCACCTGCACAGGCAAATACACTGTATGTATGTATGTATACGGTCACACCGTGTATTTACAGTCACACCACTCATTACCAATCATAAAGATTAAGGCACATCACTGCAGCAGCACAGCACAGCCACTTGCAGCCAGCAGCAGAAGGCCCATCGAAGCGAAACTAGCCAACAGGTAGGTAGCTGATAGCACTCCTGCACCCAAGGTGCTATGAGGACTTTGATATATTCTAGCCGCAATCAATTCATTGTACCCAAAACTTAAACCCTAACCCCTGAAGTCTGGCCCTCACCCTCGCTCCTAACCATCCACCAACCCACCCACCATCCACCCACCCATCATCCACCCACCCATCAATAACCCACCCATCAGCCACCCACCCACCATCCTCCCACCCACCCACCATCCACCCACCCACCATCCTCCCACGGTCCCACCCACCATCCACCCACCCACCATCCTCCCACCCACCATCCTCCCACCCACCATCCTCCCACCCACCATCCACCCACCCACCATCCACCCACCCACCATCCACCCACCCACCATCCACCCAACCATCATCCACCCACCCACCCCCACTAACCACATCCGACTTCGACCGCTCAAAGCCGTGAATGTGTGCTGCTATCAGCAGCGCTGCCCCGCACACCCCATTGGGCTTGCGACCGGTCTGGAAGGGAGCATGGGAGATGGGGAGGGAGGGAAGTGGAATATATGTGGGGGGTATGTGGGGTTGAATTTGTACTGGGTAAAACATGGATTTGTTTGTTCAAAATCATGTCCTAGTTTGTTACATTTGCTTTCTTTGGTTGCAGAGTCAAGGGTTCAATTCCCATTGACTTCCTTTTAGGCCTACCCGTCTGAAGGGGGTTGGGAAAATAGATGGTGAGCGAGGGACTGATGGGAGAGCAAGAAGGGAAATCCAGAATTGTAAGGAAAGTCCCCAGCATGGGAAGAGAAGCTCCTCGTCTCATCTGCATCAAGATTTTCAATTTACTAAACAAGCAGCAGCTTTGTCTGGTTCAGTACAGATTCTGAGGAATTTTTAGTAGACCCAGAAAAAAGAGGCCTACTAATGTACGAAGTTTAAGCATTCTTAATCATGAGAAAGAACTCTCACATTGTCTGCTTCCACCCACTGACCCCTCCTCTCCCCCTCACCTGGATCCAGTCACGCTTCATGGAAGCAACGAGGCGCAGAAAGAGCGTACCATGCACCCCTTTCCCTTTCATCCCTACCCTTTCCCTCCCATCCCCTCCCCTTTCCCCCCTTCTTCACCCTCCCTTCACCTGAATCCAATCGCGCTTCATGGAGGCAACGAGGCGCAGAGCCGTGTCAAACACTGCATGCATGATGCATCTTGCGCTTCCAGAAAGAGCGTACCATGCACCCCTTTCCCTTTCATTTTTTAGGCGCCTCAAAAGCCAGAAAGAGCGTACCATGCACCCCTTTCCCTTTCATTTTTGAGGCGCCTCAAAAGCCAGAAAGAGCGTACCATACACCCCTTTCCCTTTCATTTTTGAGGCGCCTCAAAAGCCAGAAAGAGCGTACCATGCACCCCTTTCCCTTTCATCCCTACCCTCCTTTCCCTCCCATCCCCTCCCCTTTCCCCCCTTCTTCACCCTCCCTTCACCTGAATCCAGTCGCGCTTCATGGAGGCTACTAGGCGCAGAGCCGTGTTGGCCACTGCATGCATCTTGCGACTACTATGTCACCCATCCCCTCGTCTCACCTTGCCTCACCTCTCCTGACCTCCCTGCCCCCCTCCGCCTCTCACCTGGATCCAGTCTCGCTTCATGGAGGCTACGAGGCGCAGAGCCGTGTTGGCCACTGCATGCATCTTGCGCCCAAAGTTGAGGCCTGGTATTGTGCACATGTGGCACCATGCAAATGCCCATGCAAAAAAATGCCATACCCATGCCCATGCCCATGCCCATGCCAATGCACATGTCATCCCCATGACATGCCATGTCGCACAATACAACAAATTTAAAATGTTGATTGCATAGCGGGAAGAGAAACACTTGGGCCATAGCCATTGTGGACCATAGAAATGCACTCCCACACACTGGGAAATGGTCGGAGCTGGTAGAGTACAAACTAGCTCTCAGTGGGAATCGAACCCCAGACTGTTGGGGCACCATGTTAGAAACAAAACCAGCTGCATCAATATAGATACAAAAAATAATGGGGCAGTACACTACCACACGAATGCATAAGAAAAACCAGATTCCAAGATTTCTGCATACAGAGTCATGAGGTTGGTGGTGCTAATGTGGAGTGCAAATACCTGATGCTTGTGCTGACTGGTACCAGGCATCGGATGAGGGTGCATGATTAGTGGTACAGGTATTGCTGCTACGCTATAACAGAGAAAACTTACGATCGGCAAATCGGTGGATGAAGAGGGAAGGGTCCAGAGGTGCTTGTAGCGGCTCGTGGTTCTCCAGTCGCAGCACCAACAGTGCCCGCAGTACATAGATGGAGAAGTGAAACCAGCGAAAGAGGAGAGAAACACTTACGATCGGCGAATCGGTGGATGAAGAGGGAAGGGTCCAGCGGTGCCTGCAGCGGCTCGTGGTTCTCCAGCCGCAGCACCAGCAGCAGCTGCAGATACACCGCTCCCAGTACATACCTGAGAGAGTGAAACAAGGGAGATCAATAGAGCGACAAGAGAGAAAAGGAAGGGATGAGTGAGGGCCTGAAGAGGCTCGTGATTCTCCAGTCGCAGAATCAGCAGCAGCTGCAGATACACCGCTCCCAGTACGTAGCTGGAAGATAGAGACTGGGAGTGCGAAAGGCGAGAGAAGGAAGGGATAATTCAGGGCCTGTAGGGGCTCGTGATTCTCCAGTCTCAGCACCAGTAGCAGCTGCAGATACACCGCCCCCAGTACATAGCTGAGCAGGTGAAATGAGAGAGAGGAGAGAGAGAAAGAACCAACAGGTGCTTAGAGGGATACTGTTGCTGCTGACATGCGTGCATCTAGCAGGGCCCTAAACCCTCTCTCCTTCTCCCTCTCTCCATTGTTTTTCCGATTGCACATCTGCTGAGTGCTCTGGAGAAAAAAATAGATTCTGATATGGAACGAGTGGCGGAGGAAGATAGGGTTTAGGGCACTGCTGTTGCTGGATCATCCCTTCTCTTCCTCCAATACTCGCCCCATATCAGAATCTATTTTTTTTCCAAAGCACTCAGCAGATGTGCAATCTGAAAAAACAATGGAAAGAGGGAGAAGGAAAGAGTGTTTAGGGCCCTGCTAGATGCATGCTTGTCAGCAGCAACAGTATCCCTCTGAGAAGGAAAGGATAATTCAGAGCGCAAAGAGTCTCTAGTCGCAGCACCAGCAGCAGCTGCAGATACACCGCTCCTAGTACGTAGCTGGAAGATAGAGATTGGGAGTGCGAAAAGCGAGAGAAGGAAGGGATAATTCAGGGCCTGTAGGGGCTCGTGATTCTCCAGTCTCAGCACCAGCAGCAGCTGTAGGTACACTGCCCCCAGAACGTAGTTGAAAGATTGAAACGAGAGAGAGGAGAGAGAAAAGGAAGGTATGAGTCAGGGCCTGCAACAGGAATGTATGAGTCAAGGCCTGCAACAGTGTAAAAAAAAAAAAAACAAAAAACATGAGCGATCAATAATAACCTGTAGCTGCTAATGGTTGTCACTATTTTTCGGTGCCTAAAAATTGTCACAATCACCACCCGGCTATTCTATCTATGCAGTATAAAACCGTGAGCTGGAGAGTAGGGGAGAGAGGAGGGTGCGTTACTAAAGGAGAGCCAGGCACTCAGAGAGGCTAAGTCAGAAGGAGAGATGCTTTGAGACCTTGAAAACTAGGATGTGAGGGGCTGGCGAGGGGGTGGTGAGAGGGTGGTGAGAGAGGCACACTCACACGTTGATCTGCAGCAAGTCGGCAAAGTCAATGAGCAGGAACGGTTTCTTCTCCTGCCTGCCAACGAGTACAAAAGGGTGAGTGGCATAGCCCGGAATTAAGGCGATTATTGTGTGGACGTAGAAGCTGATAATCGACTCGAAAATTCTGGTTGCTAGAAAAGCAGCAAGAGATTCTGGGCTTTAGTGACATGACAGCCTCAATAAATTACCAAAAGGCGCCTAAAAGAGGTAATAGGAATCTCAGAATTAATCGCTGTCGAGAAAAAAGACTTCATGATATGAGTGATTTTTTAGACGTCTCAAAAATTCACTCAGAACACATCGCTGTCGAGGAGAAAGACTTCTTCGAATGGACTCGAGAAAAAAACTGCAGCAGCATCAGATTAACGCCCACCTGCAGGCGAGGTAGAGGCATGCAGCTGCTACTTGTGCCACTCGCCTTCCTCGGGTGAAGTTGCGATTCAGAGCCAGCTGAGTTGTCACGAGTCAGAACGGGGGGATGGAGGAAGGGCAGATGTGCACGCAACCATAGGTGTGATGGACATGACATATATGTGTGCATGGCATGTGTGATGGATGGCTCAGTTGGTTTACTTACTCTGCACAAACGAATTTACATCTTAGGCATTCACACGAGATACGCAGTTTCAATTGCATTCAAGAGGGTTCAAGAGGGGTTCCGGGGATAGTACCTGGTACAGGCGGTGTGCCGACCCAATCATGTCCTCTCGAGGTCGCACTGCCAGGCGCTCTGCTATTTCTGCAATCTCATTGCGCCCTGCAAGAGTTGTGGGGAAGAGGGATGGCGAGGGAGGGAGAGAGCGGGCAGGGAATGACATGACTTGAGGGCCAACGGAAAAACACTCGTGGTCGCACTGCCAGGCGCTCAGCTATCTCATGACTGTTCACTCATGTAACCCCTCTCTGTACGCTCCACACCACACACACCTCGCATGACAGTGCCTTCATGTGACTCTGACGAGCCGATTTTTGAGTCGACTAAAAAATCGACTCATGTGACCCCTCTCTGTACGCTCCACCACACACCCAAAGGCGAACCCCCACACGCATGACAGTGCGTTCATGTGACTCTGACGAGCTTCAAAAGGCGAACCCCCACACGCATGACAGTGCGTTCATGTGACTCTGACGAGCTTCAAAAGGCGAACCCCCACACGCATGACAGTGCGTTCATGTGACTCTGACGAGCTTCAAAAGGCGAACCCCAACACGCATGACAGTGCGTTCATGTGACTCTGACGAGCTCCAAAAGGCGAACCCCCACACGCATGATAGTGCGTTCATGTGACTCTGACGAGCTCCAAAAGGCGAACCCCCATCTCACTTACATCGGCGCAGCATGCATTGGCATCACCATCAGTATCACTGATTACCACTGTCACTACCAGTACGTATCACTGTCACACCCTCCTCTCATGACTGTACGCTCGTGTGACTCTGACGACCCCCCAAAGGCGACCCCCCTGGCTCCCCCCAACCGCACTACTGCCCCCCCTCCCCCTGCACCAAACTCCCAGCAATGGTGCATTCGTTTGTATCACACCCACCTCGCATGACCGTGCGCTCGTGTGACTCTGACGAGCCCCCAAAGGCGAACCCCCTGGCTCCTCCCAGCCGCACCACCGGCCCCCCTCCTCCTGCATCTGCCACGAAGCTTCCCATGGCCATGCTCTGGAACAGAGGGAGAGAGGAGGGACGAAGAGATCACAGAGCAATAGATGAATGAATAGGTGAGGAAGAAAGCTTCAAGGGCAAATTGGTGGGGCGGGGAAAGGCCAGGAGGAAGTAGTGAGACAAATCAATATTAGTTTTCATACTCATGAGACCTGTACTCGTTAATGCGTTTGTTTCCCGCTTACAGAGCCATCGGATTGTTTCATGAAAACAGTGTCGGACGAGTAGACGGTATCGTCCAGCACTCGCCCACACCCCGTGCAGCATCTGTAGAGGGGGGACAACAGGCAGACAACAAAGCAGACAGACGGGCACATCAAGGCGCCGGGAGCGGCGGAAAGGGAGCGATCAACGGCGCAACCAAGTGCCAGGTCGAACAATCCGTCCACACTACACACGGTTGTTACGCTTGATTGTAACACAAGCGAATTGTGAACGAACGAACGAAAATGCGCAGGAAGAATGAGAAAATCCTTTTAGGCGCCTCAAAAGATAAGCATGATGAATGAGCGAACGAAAATGAGCAGGAAGGGGCCTATTTTTGAGTCGACTAAAAAATACGAAAATGAGCAGGAAGGAACGTACGAGAAGCCATTGGCCTCGTCGACCTCCGCCTGCTGGTCGCGCCCACAGTAGCTGCACCACACCATCGCGACCTCGCGCTCGCCACGTCACTCGCGCCACGTCACTCTCGCCGCGTCACTCTCGGCCGGGAAATGCAGTGCGATTACAGCGAAGCCAAGAAACCTTGCTGCTTCCCCGGGTACAGCTGCAGGCGGAAGCAGTCCCAAGGAACTCAGGCTCGCGAGCAAATACTTGCGGCTGCAGTTGCTTTCACGACACGATCCAGTTCTCGCGACAGGGAAATGCAGTGCGATTACAGCGTACACGAAAAACCTCGCTGCTTCCCTGGGTGCAGCTGCAGGCGGAAGCCGCCTAAAGGTTCGTTCGCAGGCTCGCGAGCAAATAGTTGCGGCTGCAGTGGCTTCGACCCCTTGTCTAAGCGGCTGAGATTTAGGTTGCGATCGATGCGACAGCTGCGGTTAAGAGCCTCACGACGTGTTTTTACGCGCCGCGACGGTTGAAAGCCTCGCGACGGGTGAGTAGTCGTGCAACGACGGAACGGCGAGGACGATCGCGTGGAGAAGAAGTAAACTAACGACGGCTCTATCTGCGTTTAACGAACTCCGTCCGGAGACCGATAACTGGGATGGCGTGCGTAACGGCGATCCGATATCCGCAAATGAGCTTTCAATTAGCTGCCAGCCTACAAGTCTGTGTGCTCGTTCGTGCAATCGCGACGCGAGTGGTCGGCCTAGTACTGATAAGCTTGTGTGGTGGTGGTGTTTCAGAACGGCAACTTTCAAGGTTTTGGAAGGGTAGTAGCTGCCTCGTTAACGCGTACGGTTGCTTTGAACTGGCTTGGGACCGGGATTTGTTTACCGCTGAGAGCTACCTTATTTGTGAAATCCGCATTTCTGTACACTTCACCACACCAGTGTTCTCAATGTGCAACTGAATTGAACAAGCACCCGACTAAAAGAGAATGACCGACAACGAATCAACAGATATCGAAATGTCAGGCCACATGAAGCTGAAATGCAGCAGCAGGCAAAACATATTTCCATCCGCTTCCAGAACCACAGGATGACACCGATACTGTGGCCGCTGTCAGGTGATCAATCCTCTGGGACCATCTGTCCACATGAACGAAAGAGTGATACAAGTACGATGCGCAATGTGTTAGAGGATCATACTGTCGGCAAGTTGTGCATTGACAAATGTAACAAGGAATGGGGGCGTGGAATGGGAGAGGGAGAGAGAGGGAGAGAGGGAGAGAGGGCGAGGGAGAGAGAGGGAGAGTGGGCGAGGGAGAGAGAGGGAGAGAGGGCGAGGGGGAGAGAGGGAGAGGGGGAGAGAGGGCGACGGAGAGAGAGGGAGAGAGAACGAGGCCGAGGGAGGGGGAGAGGGGGAGGGCAGGGGAAAGGGGGAAGGGGGGAGGGGGAAGGGGTTGTTAGGAGTTTGGGTGAAGGAATGGGAGGGGAGAGGGGGGGAGGGGGTGTTGGGAGTTTGGGTAAAGGAAGGGGAGGGGGGGAGGGGGGGAGGGGGGGGGTGGGGGAAGGGAGGGTATGAGGGAGAAGTGGCGCAGCAGTGGATGAAAATACGAATTGATGGGTTAAGTAGGGTGCAGAACATCAACAATACCAGGTCAATGAAGTCATCTTCTTCAAGCCCAAGTCAACTCCCCATCCCTGCCGTGATTGCTTATAAAAAACTCTCAGAACTTATTCCAACCTGACGACGCACCTGGTCAATGAAGTCATCTTCTTCAAGCCCAAAGCCTCAACTCTCCCTCCCCGTTTAGGTTGTCGCAAAATTACCAGGCGCGCCAAATACATATCTATCACCGACAACGCACCTGGTCAATGAAATCATCCTCTTCAAGCCCAAACGCCTCAGCTCTCCCTCCCCGTCGTGAGTGCCGCCGCCGCTGCCGCCTCTGCTGCTCCTCCTGTTCCTCCTGCTCCTGTTGCTGCCGCCACTGGGTTTGCCATTCCCTCTGCCTCTCCCTCTCCAATTCCCTCGCCCATTCCCTCTCCTGCTCGTGCTCTCGTTCCCTCTCCCTTTCCCTCTCCCTCTCCCTTTCCCTCTCCCTCTCTCTTTCCCTCTCCATCTCCCTCTCCATGTCCCCTACAGTATAACCACCAGACTGCCGCAACTCTCCCCTCTCTCCCCTCTCCCTCCACTCCCTCTCCTCCACCTCCTCCTCTTCATCTATCACCTCCCCCTCAACCCCTGCCCCTCCGTCCCTCCTCGCTCCTCTCTCTCCCCTTTCTTGTACTTCCACACTTGCCCTCCCTCCTTCACTCCCTGACTCCCAATTTCTCTCCCTCTTCATCTTATTGTGTGCGTTGCCCTCTTCCCTCTCTCCCCCCGCTCCCTTTTGCTGCCTCTTCCCCGCCTCATACTCTCGCTCCATTGCCAGCTCAACCTCTATAAGCTCCTCCTTGAGAGTCTTGCGTCTCTTGGTCGTCAGCCATCCTGGGGGTGGGGAGAATGAACAGCACCAGCAGCAAAGGACACAGACTGGAGGCATGGGGGCATGAAAGCACCTTCCCCGCCTCATACTCCCTCTCCATCGCCAGCTCAACCTCTATAAGCTCCTCCTTGAGGGTCTTGCGCCTCTTGGTCGTGAGCCAGCCTGCAGTGCACCACGCGCAAACGGACACAGACAAGTGTATAGTGGGCGGGCATGGAGTAATCAAGTCAACGAGGAAAGCATGTCTTCCCGGCCTCATACTCTCGCTCCATCGCCAGCTCAACCTCTATCAACTCCTCCTTGAGAGTCTTGCGCCGCTTGGTCGTGAGCCAGCCTGAAGAATGACAATTAGAATGGCAAACGGACATGGCATGGGGAAGCATCGAGTCATCTCCCGCCTCATACTCTCTCACTCCATCGCCACCTCCAGCTCTATCAGCTCCTCCTTGCGGCTCTTCGTGGTGAGCCAGCCTGGGGGGAGAAGAAAAAACGGCACGCAGCTACAGACTGAAGGCAGCATCAAGACATGGAGGCAACTTTCCCGCCTCATACTCTCTCACCCCATCGCCACCTCCAGATCAGCTCCTCCTTGCGGCTCTTTCGCCACTTGGTTGTGAGCCAGCCTGGGGGGGAAGAATGAGCATCAGACTCACTACTGTCACATTCAGAATCACAGATAGGACAAGCCCTGAGTCCATACCTGTGGCATCAAGTGAAATCGCACAAAGATTGCCATGTTCTTATAACGAGAATGGCAGGTATCCTCACCTGGATGGTTGGGCAGAGGCACTTGGTCTGCAGTCACATCCTCCTCAGCATCATGGCTGGCCCCTCTAGTATCACGCTCGTTCCTGTCACCCTTGCATCTGCCTCCCTCGTTTCTGCCGCCCTTCTTTGTGTCACCTCCGCTTCTATCACCATCACCATCACCATCACAAGGAGCATCCCTTACTGTTACAGCTGCACCAATAGCAGAAGACATACTCGAAGCACAGGGGCGAAAATTTGTTGAAGGATCACACTCAAGCCTTCGCTCCTCACTATGACTGCCGACCCTGCCCCTGCCGAGCCTGTCCATGTCAAGCCTGTCATCACCGAACCTATCCAGGCCTTGATGTGCCACATCCTTTTCTGAATCACCCCCTTTACTGTCACAAGCAGCATGCCTAGCCGTGCCTCCATTCTCCCTATACGGACCCGCCCTCTCCCTTCTTCCAATCCAGGCTTGTAGCTTAACAGCACCAACTGAGCAAATGTTGCTGACACCTGAGCGACCACCTAGACCAATGTTGCTGGCACCTGAACCACCACCTGTGCTCTGGTTGCACGCTATTGAAGCACCAGCTGGGGTGAATTGAGGCAGGGAAGAGCCATGGGCGTGGGCATGGTATGTCTGCCCTTGGGGGAGGAAGGAAGTAGAGACGGGAAGGGACGGCTGGGATGCATGTGCGAGGGAGGATGGACGGTCCAGATGAGAAGGACTGAGGGATGGATGGTGAACAGGGAGAGGGTACGCAAGTGGGTCGTTCAGGGGCTGTGCCCGCTCTTGATTGGATGAACGGATGGATGGACGGTTGGATGGACGGTTGGATACAGGGTTTGACGAACCGTTGGTGGGGTTGGTGGGGATGGGGCGAGAGGAAATAGGGTTTGCGAACTTAGGAGCCTCAGAGAGGCGCGCGGAGCCAGGGTTCAGATGGATCGCTGTTATTGTGGAAAGGCAGGAAGGGGTGGATGGAGGGGTGGGAGCGGGAGTGGGGGTGTGAGTGTGAGGGAGAGTGTGGGAATGAGCATGCAAGGGAGATGGGGCAGCGTGTGCAGGCGCAGGAACGTGAGCCTGGAGCAAGCCCATTGGCAAGGCACTGAGGTCACTGCAACCACTTGGAGTGCGTTGAGTGTGTTGACTGCGTTGACCGCGTTGACTGCCCGAAGCTGTACTGTAATGACCGCGTTGACTCTCCAATGGAAGACTGAGTTGACTGAGTTGACCGTGTTGACTGTGTTGACCACCAAGAATGGGCAGTCCAGACCCACACCCCGAGGAACCAATCGGAGCAGCCAAGCCCTCCGCCATCACAGCGGCCATAAGCCATCGCTCTGTCCCACCTGACTGCACTGCATTCAATCCCTCTCCGCCTTCTTGCACTTGCTCTCTTGCACCTGACTGCACCGCATTCAATCCCTCCGCCATCAGCGCTGCCATGAGCCATCTCTCGTTCCGCCCGGCTGACGCAGCACGAGCCGCTCCGTCTTCTACGCCTTCCACTCCCCGGCGCACCAGTCGACCCGACTGCACCGCGTTCAGCCTAACCGGTGGAAGAGAAGCAGTAACAGACGCGTACAGCGGACCCTCCCTCTCGCGCTCGCGCTCGCTCCTGTTCGGTAAGGTTCCTGTTTCATTCGTCGCAAACGCGAACCTGGAACTGTCTGCTGCAGTCGCATGATAGGTTGGTCGCTCTGTCGCATGATAGGTTGGTCGCTCGGTCGCACCAGAGGCTGGTCGCTCGGTCGCATGAGAGGCTGGTCGCTCGGTCGCATGAGAGGCTGGTCGCTCTGCGCCACGCGTGTGATTTCGGTTCGATCTCGCAAGCTGGGTCGAGTGGTAACTGTCGTCACGATTTCGGCTCCACTTCTGGTCCTCGCACGCCATTAGGAAAAAACGTTTTTGAGACGTCTAAAAAACTTACTCATATATCGTGAATTCGGCTACAAGTCTGCTCCGAGCAGACGCCATTAGGAGGAAGCGAGCGGAGGCTGAGTTGTGAATCAGAGGCTGTTCAGATAGATTTTAGGCCACACTATTTGGAAATGGTATATTTTGTAAACGGTACGCTGAAGTAAGTTGTAGTGTGTTTCAGAGCGGTACTCATCCGAGCGGTACCCATCCGAACCGTACCGTTCGTTTTGAAGAACTCGATCCACGCCCTTATCCCAGGGCTCTCGCCTTACCCGTTGTGTACCCGTTACGTTTCGCGAATCGCAGCGGCTGCGACCACCCTTCGAGCTGTGAAGCTGCGTGTGTTACACGAGTTATCGAAGATCGTCAAAGTCGCCAGCAGCACTACGATCCCTCCCGACTGCTTTCCACTCGCCTCCTCCTCCTTTGCCAACTGTTGGAAGTCAGTCCGTACCAATTTTCTTTCCCGTGACCTAGCGTGCCTTCTACGCTCGCGTGGCTTCTACGCTCGAGCTTCCAGTTCACACCTGCCATGGAAGTGACAACCTTCACGTGTGCTTCGCGGCTGAATCCGAAACGCATCCTTCTGGCTATGGCGGCGCGAGCAGATAGTGAGCTGCTGTCAGATTTAGGCTTGAAAACGGAGATCTATAAATCAGATGTTAAAGATTTCGTTTTCCATCAGCTCTTCAACAACTGCTTTTTTCAACGTTGCAAATTCAACCGGCTTTCCTTTCCACGGCTATTTCCTTAGTAGCACTATCAACGGGCCTGCTCTCATCCGTACGGCATTTACTGCGACGATCCCAAAGCATCTCGAAAATGGCGAGTAGTAACTCGTGGCCATGCGCAGCGCGCAAGCTGCTGCCTCTCTCCCTCCTCGTGCTCCTCGCCGTCACCAGCGCCAACGCAGCACGACCCATGCTGCAGACGTCATCCTCCACCGCAGCAACCGCCGTCACCGCCGGATCTGCCTTGGGAACTCCGCGCAGGGTGGAGCGGAAGCTGATGACCTGGGACGAGGTGACGGTGGATACAGTGGCTTCAGGGAACCTGGGCATAGTCGAAGGCTGGGAGGACTCCGACGTGACGCAGCTGCTGGTGAATGTTTTCGTGAACGAGGGTTGCAATGTTATGGTGATCAAGTCCGAGCACTCCGTGTACGACGGTAAACCATTTTCCGTCACGGTCCAGGTGGCCACTCCTGGGGTGACTCGTATTTTCAGGTGTATTTCCGGAAGGGCCCATTCAGAGTGGTGAATTGGGGGGAAGGCACGTCCGAGAATTGGGCTTTGGAGGAAACTATTGGTTTGGGTCAGGACAATTAGCTGTGTATTTCACTTGAGTGTTGTTGTGCATTGGTAGCCTCATTTTATATTGAGTACAACTATCCCGTGGGTAGCAAGCAATGGGGTAGTTGGCGAACACTACTGTAGTCGTATTTCAAATGTAAGAGCACACACTATGATTGAAACAAGT